TGAACATGTACGTTGAGAAAACATTTTGGAAGCTTTTGATTTTTTTAAATTAAGCTACAGGGATAGCACTCATTAAAATCAAACTACCTTCAGCATTGTCCTAAACTGGACACTACTGCGTTTTAAGGGACCGCTCTGACAGAGCTTGAGTGCCGGGTATGCAACCTAATAGAAATCAGCAAAAGCCCCATCAATAACCACGATAAATTCTTGTTTGAGACTTCCCATGGAAAGTATTGAAATGAAAATAATTTTAAAACAGGTAATTTACAACCTCTTCAAATATATCTTAAAATGTGATAAATGGGATCGTTTTCATACTATATGAAAGTTACCGCAATTGGAGTTAGCCACCCTCTGAATATCACAGGTGCATTCATCTCTCATCTAAAAAGGAGGTGTTTAGTCAAATGGGATGAATCAACTCACCTTTCGCTATTAAGAGAGCTTACTAATTAGCTTAGTTGAGCATCTATCTTCTAAATAAAAACATTTGAGATCATTGCTTCTTAACGTCATGACCACAGTAAAGCGAAGGATAAACTGGCAAAACGTTTGAGAAGAATGATGCAGAATTTTTCCATCCAGTGATTTTAGTTCTTTTGGAGAGTTGAGTTGTTGTTTTGAGAAGCTGATGAATCATGGGCCTCTGAGCACATCAGATCAGACAGGCCCATTCATCCTCGGGGGAGAGCTGTATGGCAAGAATGCATGGGTTTGCAATCAGACCTGAAATGTGAAATCCCTGAATCCTTTCCTTAGCAAAGGAAACACACCAGTTGTATTTATCCCAGTGGTGAAACGAACACCTAAGCAGGCACAGAAGAGAATTTTACAATGAGATTATGGCAGAGAGTGTGACTGTCTAGCAAGGAGCTGTGTGCAGACAGAAGGAATCATCTGCCACTCACCTGCAATACCTTATTTGCCAGTCCAAGAGAGGCAGGATGAGGCTTCATGTGGCCAAACTTCCTTCTTACTGAAGCTGTAGGTCTTGTTTTGGCTAACCCTTTGTTGTTGTAAGAATGCAAGTTAGCCCATTTAAAGCCAGCTCAGACTATGGCTTTAGATGGGCCACGGTTGCTTCAGCCATCTTATGAGTTCCAATTCAGTTCACCACGCTGGCAAGCAAACAAGAGTCCTGGGGCTTGCACAAGGGCAGACACAGCCGGGGAAGCTGCTTAAGCTAACACTGTGACCACAGTCTAAAACATATCAATGCTGTGTTGCTCTCATAACAGTTCCTTTACCTACAGAAACTCATAAAACAAGGGGCAGCAAAACCTCCCTGCTTAGCTGAATCTGGCACTTGGGCCAGACGCCGCTACTGGTTCAGCTATTTGGTTTAAAAATGAACTTAGCCATATATAATGAAAGCCCACAGTAAATTAAAGAATAGCACACAAGTCTTAAAAACAGTTGCCAGGAGTGAACCATCACTAGATTATACAACCAGACGTGTAGTCATCTACAGACAAGGCGGGCAGGCCATACCTGCAGAACAGGCCACAGTAATCCAGAAAGCAGCAACTCTGAAAGCATTTAGGAGGGAACAGATGAGCATGTGGGTGTGAACCACCACTGTCCAGGGCCAAAACGATCCTAGGTAATACGTGGCTCATGAGTTACTTGTGGCCACTGAGTACTTCACTGAGGAAGTGATACTGGAAGCCTTTAAGTCTGGCCTCGGTACTCTTTTTAAGAGTGCAAAAATTTGATCGTACTGGGCTTACATGACAAGGTTTTGGTAGCAGGGGGGCTGCAGGGGTGGCTTCTGTGAGAAGACACCAGAAGCTGTCCCCGTATCGGACAGAGCCAAGGCCAGATGGCTCCAAGATGGTCCCACTGCTGGCCAAAGCTGAACCCATCAGCAACATCAGTAGCATCCCTGTGATATCCTATCTAAGAAAGGGTAAAAACCACTGTGCAACAGCAGCTGGGAGACAGGAGTGAGAATATGTGAGAGGAACACACCTCTGCAGGCCCCCAGGCCAGTGCAGCAGGAGGGGCAGGAGATGCTCCAGGCACCAGAGCAGAGATTCCCCTGCAGCCCCTGGAGCAGCCCATGGTGGGGCAGGCTGTGCCCCTGCAGCCCGGGGAGGCCCACGGGGGGGCAGGCTGCCCCCCTGCAGCCCAGGGAGGCCCACGGGGGAGCAGATCTCCACCCGCAATCCAGGGGGGACCCCATGCCAGAGCAGGGGGGTGCCCGAAGGAGGCTGTGACCCCATGGGAAGCCCTTGCTGGAGTAGGCCCCTGGCAGGACCTGTGGCCCCATGGGGAGAGGAGCCCAGGCTGCAGCAGGTTTGCTGGCAGGGCTGGTGACCCCGCGGGGACCCACGCTGGAGCAGTCTGCTCCTGAGGGACTGCATCCCGTGGGAAGGAGGGACCCAGGCTGGAGCAGTTCATGGAGGACTGTCTGCCGTGGGAGGGACCCCAGGCTGGAGCAGGGGCAGAGGGTGAGGAGCCCTCCCCTGAGGAGGAAGGAGCAGCAGAGACAGCGTGGGATGGACTGACCCCAACCCCCATTCCCCATCCCCCTGCGCCACTGCAGGGGAAGAGAGAGAGGATTCGGGAGTGAAGTTGAGCCTGGGAAGAAGGAAGGGGTTGGGGGAAGGCATTTTAAGATTTGGTTTTATTTCTCACTATCCTACTCTGTTACTAATCGACAATAAATTTGCATTTCCCTAAATTTGAGTTTGTTTTGCACATGATGATAGTTGGGAAGTGATCTCCCTGTCCTAATGAGCTTTTCATCCTATTTTCTCAACCCTGACCTATTGATGGAGAGGGAGTGACAGAGCCAGTCTGGTGGGCACCTAGTGACTGGCCAGGGTCAACCCACCACATTGACAGGAGGGGAAAAAAGGAACTACAAATTTTTTCGGTTAACGTTCGTTAAATATTCAAGACCCGAAGAATATCATGCATTGGGAGATGTAGCAAGTTCAATCCATTCAATTTATAAAAAAAAAACAAACGTGATAATAATTACAACATGCAGTGGATATAAATTTTCCTTTGGGGAAGAAAATACCAGGTAAGGAAATTAATTTTCCTTTTTTAACTTGTGAGAAAGAAGAACAGAAGCAGATGACTGGAACCTGAAGCCCCTAACAAAACGTTATCCTCCCAGCGTTCCAGGCGAGGCGTCC